CAACGGCGATGAGATATTGTCATTCATGATTCAACTGACCAGCCCGTTGCAAAAGGGCAATGGTAATTCAGAATTATTTTATTTTGTTGATCTGATCATTCTGATGGCCTCTGGACTCGAACTTGGGTCTGCATTGTTCAATAGTCTGTGGGTGTACGGTGTACCAACTTAGCTAGGGGCTCATTTGTACTTAGTAATCCTAAGATATTATATTATTATGAAGGTTCTTTTCTTTTTTTTTTTTCTTTTTTTTTTAAAGAAGGTTCGTTCTGACTGAGACTGATCGTCCATTAATTGTTTTTTTTTTTTTTTGGTTCTTTTATCGTTGTGCGACTTGCCATTGTGAGAAGCGTGTTCGGTTGTGGCATTGATGCTTTTCTGCCACTTGCTTGTGAAGGTTTATGAAGGTGATGGGCCTCCGACTGCTTTGCCGCGTTTGGCAGATTTCTGACAAGGCATTCCCATGCCTGCAGGTGACTTTCTCGAGAAACAACACACACTGTGTCCCGGAATAAATGCCTTTGTCCGAAGCTCGTCAAGAAAAAGGGGAAAAAAAGAATTGAAAACCTCAAAAGAGGATTTCCTGCTCTCTTGGTCATAAATTCTGCCCTTGGGTTGTCTCTCTCTCTCTCTCTCTCTCTCTCTCTCTCTCTCTCTCTCTCTCTCTCTCTCTCTCTCTCTCTCTCTCTCTCTCTGCTATTTCTGCCTCTCTCTTACTCGTAAATTCTGTCCTTGTTGGGGTCTCTCTCTCTCTCTCTCTGTGCTATTTCTGCCTCTCTCTCCTCTCTCTTTCTCTCTCTTTGTGTCCCTCTCTCCAGGTAGTTCAGTACACCAGATACCGGCAGGATTTGAACTCACGTCTGTTTATCAACAGCGCGTACCATTCAGCCATCTGGAGTGGTGTACCATTCAACCATCTGGGGTGGGTGCCATTGAGCGATTTCTCAATATTCTGGGAAATCACCGAAATCGGTGAAATGTGAACTGGTTAGTGGGCTCGTTTTTTTTTTTTTGGCGGTCAAACCACCACTATGCAATAATTCAGCTCCAAATATGCATCCGTCGTGGGCTATGGATCATGCCTTCTGGTCAAAGGCCTAAACGGGGGTCAAAAGTCCCTCCTAAGTCGTAAAACGAAGAAGGCCTATTGCTGAGGGGTACCCCAAGCCAGGCCAAAACAGGCCTGCAGAGGCCCAACGTGAGGCAGTTGACTTTGGGAAAGTTAACAGTCAACCTCAGCTCGGGATACAGGCCACAAGTCAAAGTCAAACTGATCCCAGCCTTGGCCACCGATCAGATACACACTTCTGGTTGTTTGCAGGTATCCGGATGACATCAAGCCCAAGTGGGAAACGTCAGTTTCTGCAACTGTACCTTGGCTGACGGACGATCTGGGCCATCGTATGCAAGAGACCAGAGGCTGACGGGCGATCTGGGTCAACGCTCGTCAACACTATATGTTGACCCAGCCCCTGACCGTGGACATTCAGTCTTGCACATGCTGCTTGACGCTGGCTAGACGCTGGTATGACGACGCAGGACTGCTGGAGCTTGATGCTGGCGCCATTCTTGGTCCTCGGCCCCAGCTGTACATTTGACCTTGCTGACGTGGCTGCGGCCACACTGATTCTGACATTGATGGAGTACAGGCGAGGAGGAGGAGGATCAGGGCTGTGAGATTGATCGAGTGTGGAAGGGAAAGCTTACCTGACTGTGCCCGTGTCGACGTTGTGCATTGCTGCACGGCTTCAGGAGGTGTCTGCGGCAATGGGCGCCATGCTGTAATCTCAGGGGAGACTGTTAGCTGACGTGGTGAGTTGGGAGGTGCCCAAAGAGGAAGCGGGCTTGCGAGGGAGATCTATCTACAATAGTGATGGATACTCTCTTCCACCCTCTAAGTCTTATCTCCCTCTCCTCAGCTTCTTCTCTGGTTACGAGACATTGAGCTACTTGATTTCATGTATGATTTTGGAGACACTGATTCTGCGCTGAGACATTCTGTACTTTGACATTGACGGGCCTTCCACGAGACTGGGTTCATTGCAACTATGTCCGAGCCCTCTTTCACGTGCTGCGTGCCAAAAGAAAAAGCGAACGGGTGCAGCACAGACGTTTTTCTGTTCGCCTGGCATCGCCCTCTCCCACATCTTCTCCCCTTCCCCCTTTACTTCACCCCTCTGTCACTCCTTTTCCACCTTCCCTTCCCTTTCCTTTTATTTATCTATTTATTTATTCATTGGGCTGGATTATACCAAGGGGTGGATTATACCAAGTTCCTCACCATTCGGGCCTGAAACCAGCGATCTTGCGCACAAAACCATGGTTGTGCAGCCAACCTCTTTCATTAAAGAGATAGCGAAGCTCATTGTCAATCCTGCCATGCATGAACTTGCCATTAGCACACGGTCCCAGTACGGAATCTTTTGTGCGTACAGCTACGTGTCCATAGCCGCTTCCCATGGAAAATGCTTTCTTCTTTCTTCCCCGTATAGGTCCAAGGCAACTTTACCTTCATCTTTTGCCTGGACTCCTTCGCTTTTCCATCCTTCTCTTTCTTGACACCCTTTCCCTTTTTGTCCCCATCATCTCCATCATTGCCTCCGTCTCCTCCCCCACACCTCCAATCTTCAACTTTCTTACCGCAGCAGGGTCGGTCATTCTTTTGGCGAGGGCTTTATCTAATTGGTCAACGTACTCGAAGATACGATGATCAATCTGTTCGGAGGCACTGCGCAGGAACTTATTCCAAACGCCTTCGAATTCCCCTTGATGCAATTCCATTCGATTAACTGTCCGGTTGAGTGCAGCAAGTTCTTGGTTGGTGTGGAGGAGGGTTTCCGTTAGGAGGGAGAGTCTCTCACCTACGGCAGCCTGTTTACCTTTCTGCTCTTGCAGCAGCTTCTGCAACCTCTCCCCCTCCTCTTTCATTCTTTTTTTTTCGTTATATTCCTGTCTTTTTGCCGCCACCATCTTATTGTTCAATTCTGCCTTCTTCTCCTTCATCTCCTTCTCCATCTTTTCTTTCTCTTTCAACAATTTCTTCTTCACCTCCTCCACCTCCTTCCTTTTCTTCTCCTCCTTTTCTTTCTTCTTTTCTGCCAAGCGGCGGTCTATTTCTGTCCGGTCCTCAACTTTCTGGGCCTGTGTTGACTTCCCAGACCTCAGCATCATATATGAGAAGAAAGTTCGCTGGAACCCAAGAGGAAAGAATAAGCGAAGTAGGGGTCCCCATAGCACAGACAGGGACAGGAGTGTGAACATGGGATAATCGTCCATGGTGATCAAAGGCACAGGTACCTTCCCTCCACCTCCTCACCACTTAGATCGAACCCCAACTACTGATCACTAACTCTTGAGTGGGTCTGACGGTTGCTGACTGCCGAATACCTTCCCAGAACTATATATGTATATACCTTTTTTTTTTAATGAGCGGACTGGGTCTGGACTCAAGGCAGATCGAGTATGTGACGGTCTAGACCAGCCCAGCAGCAGCGACACCAGGGTTGGGAAGGTACCAAACACCAAGACAAAACAACAAGCAACACAGGTTTTATGGGGGGATGCACTTCACTCGAATGAACGTTCCGTTGATGAAGCTCCACGGCCATTCCAACGCTCCAGCGCAGCACCAATCCGGTACGTAATCACCACTCAACAGGCCCCTTCTTCCTCGGCCTACTTCTCTACCCCCCTCGTCAGTCTTCTCCCCACTGAACTCACTCTCTTATATCCCTCCTTGCCGGCCTTAATCATTGCCAGCAATGTCCAGTGGATGCAGCGAGCAACTGCTCCGATACCAGTTTGCAATGGACCTCCTAGTTCAACACCAGTGAGCGCACATATGCACACCACATGCATGCATGAGATCACACGAAGTCACACTGGAGACCGGAGAGATGAAGACCAGGTAGCGCAGCTTATGAATTCCAACAAGTAAACACAAGAGCAATAAGAGTTCAAGTCTCCAGCGCTCATCAGCGCAAACGAAATAGTAACCAGTGACCAGCAAAGCTCTCAGGTAAGTTTCGCTTCCCTTCTGCTCCTCTCTTTCATGAGTCCCTTCTCCTCACTGATCGTCTCCCTAGCTATGTCCTCGCTGTGTCTTCTCTCCCTACATGCGTGCACACTCACTAACCTCTACTAAAGGATCTACTCTGAATACACCCACTGATATGTCTACTTACCCTCTAAAGTCTACTTCTAACACTCTGCACTGGCGCAGCTATGGCTGCCTTCTCTCTGCCAGTGCAATCTTTTCCTCTCTTTTCCTCTCTCTCAGCGCAGCACTCTAGCTTCAGCGCTCTGGTCCTCACATTATGGCACAAGTGCACCAGCACTTCGACGCTTCTTGCGAATGAGCCATCTGCCCGAATGGGAGGCTGGCCAGTCCTTTTGTAGTCTTGGATTGCACTTCAACTCGTGCCAGCCTCTGCTTCTTGGGACCTGACTGGTTCCGTTACCACACCCCCACGGCCTGTCTGCTTTCGAATGTCAAGGCCCGGAACCTTCCCGAAGTTCCTTAGGTCTGCTGCTGCTTGGGCCTTTGAGTCATGACTTTTCGATTTTGGCATTTGGTTTTGACTGTGGACTGTGCCTCCTGCCTCTGGGACACGACTCTTGCCTGTGAGAATGCCTTTTTACTCGTGGGATATGACTCTTCAATACGACTTTTCATTATGAGACGTGACTTTTGCCCCTGAGATGTGACTGTTTTGCTGAGTGCCTGTTGGGCTGGACTGCTGAGGTGCCCGACTGTGAATTTTCTAGACTTGACTAATTCAGCCTTTCTTGGCCAGGGTCTCTGACCCTGTGACCCGAATTTGGGGCCTGAAACGTGGAAGGCCTTTCACAGTCGTGAATTTTTTTTCTCCGTATGTTCGAACATTTTGCCCGTTTCTTACTGTGAGGGGAAATACCACGCCTTTCATGCTTGTAGGGGTGGTTCGGAAATCTGGTGTGCAAAACATGGGCTGTAGAGGGCCATCTCAAAGTTCCTTATTGAATCGTTCGGAGTGAAAAAAAAAAAAAAAAAGTTAACTTTAATTACGCTGAAAAAAGAAACAAGTGCCCGCAACAGGCTGCACGGGCCATTTTCAGGCCCGTGTCGTTTTCAGCCTGAAAGCCTGAAAACAAGGGCCTACAGGCCCTGTGTCGTTCAGCCTAAAACAGGGCCCTCCAGGCCCTGAGTCTTTTCAGCCTGAAACGGAGGGCCATTTTCAGGCCTTCATAAGATCGACCTGCCCTGAAACTTAGGCACCAGACCAGGGTTTTAGCACAGGCCATTTTGGGCCTGTTTTCAAGACAACCTTTGTTTGAGCTTCAACGCCAGGGTCTGGCACGTTTTGGCATTGGCAAGAGCAGCCTCCTGGACGGGCCAGCACTATATAAGACTGGCCCGCCATGCAGGCTGCAGGTAGTTGATAGGGACTTCCCAGGCACTTCACGTGCAGTTCTGGAGGCAGGCGGTAGTCTTCAGGTTTCAGCAGCAGCACTCTGGAGGAGTGTTGCAGGTCCAATGCAGGAGTAGTAGTAGCATTAGCAGTAGTCTTCAGCGCTGGGCGCTAGTAGCGTTAGCAGTAGTCTTCAGCGCTGGGCGCTAGTAGGAGTTAGAGTACTGTTGGAGAGAGAGAGATGGTTGGCGGAGGCGAGGGAGACTTGCCTGTGGCGCCATAGCTCCAGCTTCGTCTTCGATGTACCTGCAACAAGGCGCCACCTTCACAGGTTAGTACCGGAGAGAGAGAGAGAGAGAGAGAGAGAGAGAGAGAGAGAGAGAGAGAGAGAGAGAGAGAGAGAGAGAGAGAGAGAGAGAGAGAGAGAGTTCTTCTTCTTCCTCTTCTAAGTCCACCATCTCTTCCTTACCCTCTCGCTACCTGACTTCTCAGTATCTGCAGACTACGAGAGAGAGAGATTTGTGACTTTGGGACTTGACGACATTTGGATCCAGACTCGACATTGGGATTCAGACATTTGACGAGGGATTATTTGGTACCTGTACCGAAGACTTGGTGTTGACAACATTCCCATCTTCCCCCTCTTCTTCGTCTGATCTCCTCCTCTTCGTCTGTGTATGGTCTGGACCTGGCGCATTCTTCCTGTGTGTAGCGCCAGGCCCTTCACAACTTGCGATGATGATGATGTACGTTGGGTCTGCATTGCGACATTGATTGGGTTGATCATTGGTATCCTAGCATTCCGCTGTGCTATCTTATCCTATGTGAGGGAGGTCGGTCCTTGCTCTGGTTGGCACTATTACGGTATTCAACAGTTTGGTATTTCCTCTTCTTCTCACATGTGTGAAGTATAATGGGATGTCATGTCAGTCCCAGTCAAGTCAGGACTCATATCCAAGTTTCCCACTGCTCTACAAAGTGCCATTTTGCATGTATCAGGATGAACACTGCTTGTGGAGATTTCATTAACACTGCATTGTCCATTTAGTCCTTTTTATCACTTTGCGGATCCTTGGCTGTACATACACTGCCCAACTGGGCATGTAACATTTGGGTGGGTGCACAAACGGGCCCCCAACAACCCAAAAACAAAAAAAGAAAGAACAAAAGTAAAAAAATCCCAGATTTTTCTCATTCTCAGGGTACCGTGGGCAGGCAGACAGCCGGGCGACCTGCATGTGTGCCTGCCCATATATGCAACCCTGGTAGCTTAGTTCCTGTCCTGTTTTTTTTTTTTTTTTTTTTTTGAGAACGAAAGAGCTTCTGCAAGTGAGAGTTGAGATCGGAGACTTGCAGATCGGGATGGTTTAATTAAATTAATTTCTATGGTCGTGTACCGTCGTTCGGTGAAAGGTCATGTGGCTTCAAGGATTTAGTCCGATTTACTTGTTAAGCTTTAATTACACCTTTTATCAAGTTTTATGAAGTTTTATGGTTTTTCCCTACGCTACCAGAGTGGCCCGGGACCACTTGCCCGGGTTTTTATTTTAAAATTGGTAAAGAATTTTGCTGTGACCCTGAGGTAAAAGTTGTTCAGTTTTTTTGTTTTTAACTACGCTACTGCAAGGCTCAAGGCCTCGACGAGCCCTACTGGGCCCTGTTTTCAACAGTGTCGGACGCCCTAAGTGAAGGCAGGCCCGACAAAGGACAAGAGGCCTAATTTTGGCTACCACGCGACTGGGGAAATTCAGGCAGTTGCGCAGCGCCAGTTGGTTGAGAGTGCCCAGGCCCGGCTGCCTTTTTCAAATGTAACTGAGGCAAGCCCTGGGCCAGATATGCAACATGGGCCGAACACAGGCTGCGGGCAGTTGAACACGGGTACCTGCCATCGGCCTTGGGCCTGATTCGTTTAGACTGGGGCTCAGGCACCTGGGGCCTAGCGGAAGCTTCTGGGCAGGGGCCCAGCGCAGCCAGGCCACACGCAGCAGGCAGGCTACTTCCATTTAGGAAGGTGCCTTCCCTTTGCATTCGGCATTCGGGCACTTGCTACATGCTGTGCAAGCGCTGCTGCGCTACTGGCAGGCAAGCGCCCACGCGCTCATGGGCGAGCAAGGGATACGCAGGCAGCCATAGCCGAGCTGGCCTGCAAGGTGCTGGATGGGGCGCATGGTGGTCCTTGGGTGCATGTGGCATCTGTGTGGGGGATCGAGGTTGTGAGTGATGCGAGAGACATACCTGTTGTTTGAGGCGAACGGCATTGGCCGAGATCTGCTCGTACTTTGGGGAGCTGTTGACGTCACCAGCGGCATTGTAGATAGGCTAGACAGGATCTGGCATTTGTAGTCTGAGCTCAGGGCGCCAGATAGGAAGTCGACATTGGTTCTTTGTTGATGATGAGACTATTTCAACATTGTCACTTGTGAGCTTTTGCTGTGCTCTTATTTGGTGGAACTCGAGTTGCAATTCTGGTTTTGGTTCGAGGTCATGACTATCTGGTCTCATGTGTATGATGCTGCTTGGTTTCTGGAATTCGCTATTGCTCATTTTTCTTGCACTGCTATATTCTTCTCTCAAATATTTCGTCATCATCTTTCAAATTGTTTCAATTCACCTATCACTTCCTACCTACCTACCTACCTACCTACCTACCTACCTACATACCTACCTACCTACCTACCACTACTCCTAAGTCTTATGCAGGGGACCCCACTTAGCTTTGTTTTCTCCCTCCAGCCATCAGAGGGGATGCATGTTGGACCCCACCCCAACTGTGGTATTTTTGAATAATTTTTCTGCATAACATACTTTCAGACTTTCAGTTTTTTTTTTTTTTTTTTTTTTTTTTTTTTTTTTTTTTTTTKYTGGGRCGTTTTYTGGCCCTTGCACAGCCGGGCCGCCCGAGCCGCCCGGGCGAATAAGGTCACCCGGGCGGCCTGGCTGGTAGCCTAGTTTTTTTCAACTTTTTTGCTGCCATTTTTGCTGTTTTTCTCTCCCTCGTCCCAAAATTTTCGAATTGCTTATTTCTTTATATTTATTTGTTTTTCCAAATATGCAGGAGCTGTTAGTCCACAAGACCCCTATGGGTTATCGCTCTGACGATCCAGAGCAGGGAATAGCACGAGCGGCTTGTATTCGGGATGTCTGCAAAAAGAGTTCTCACAGAGGGATCGAGCTTGTCCTTGCCATACAGGTCCGTCAATTCTTGAAAAAAAATATATATATATCTTTAGATAATGATTATCTATTTATTAAATTTTATTTTTATCAAGTTTGTTTTATTATTTTATTACGTTATTTTCTAGGCTGTTTTTCCAGGCGCCCGGGCACCCAACTTATGCCCGGGTACACGCCCAGGTGCCCGGCCGGGCATGAAGCGCCAAAAAAAAATAAAAAAATTAAAAAATTACGGGGGAAAAAAATGTTGTGTAGAATTGCAATACAAACGACTTTTGGCTGAGTGTCAAATTAGAATTCCTCACAGAATCGGATGTAAAAAAAGAAAATAACAGCATCACACAAGGACACCCCTTTAAACTCCTTTTGCCACTTTAAAACCAATTTATACCTCCCTCCCCCGCCCCTTGACAGCCAACTCGCAAAAAAAGAAATGAGCGCGGATTTGGGGTCCTCTGGGAGAGTGCAGATTGCACTTCTGGGTACCCCGGGCGTCAGACCCCCCGGGTGCTCGGCTGGGCAGGACCGGCCGGGCGTGAGAATCTTCCTAGATTATTTTTTAATTTGGACCGTTTTTTAGTTTTGCCATTTTTTATTTTTGCCATTTTTCATTTATGTGTGTCATCCTTGCGCAGGGGCTATGCTAATTAATCTCCTCTCTATCGTTGCAGTGTTTACGAGATTAACCAATGAAAATAACAAATGAACTTAATGAAGTGAAAACCAAACAAATAAAACTTATAAAACTTAATAAAAGTGATAAAAAGTCAGAGTAAGCTACTAAGCTTACAGATTTTTTTAGGGAAAAGAAGAGAAAAGTTCAGAAAACTAAATACAACAGTAGCGTACGACCGTCTTCACCCGAATGAAACTGCCTGGTTAGTATTGACGCATCTGGTCTCAAACTTGCCTCAAATACAGCTGTAATGACCAGGTGTTCTAATTGGGTGAAGACGGTGGTAGCTTCCATCCCCCCAGCTGTAAGAAGCTTCCACAACCGGTAAGATGTTTGCCTTTCCCTCCTTCCTAAAGAGGAAAATTTGATTTTATATCATAAAAATAATATGAGCTTGTAAATGGAGCATAGCCAACGTCACTCCCATGCAATGTGGCTTAAAGCATCCAACTCACCCACTGGGGACCAACGCGATGAGGACCGCAGCATGTAGATTGAATTGAATTGGATAGGATTGGGATGAGGGTGGGGATTGGGATTTGGATGGGATGGATTGGATTGGATTGGATGGGATTGGATTGAGATTAAATTGGATTGGATTGGATTGGGATGGGGATGGGGATGCGGATGCGGATGGGGACGTGGGATGGGATGGGATGTCATTTGATTGGATTAGGTTGGATTGAATTGGATTGGATGGGGATGGGGATGGGGATGGGAATTTGGATTGGGATTGGGATGGGAAGGATTGGATGGATGGTATTGGATTACATTAGATTGGATTAGATTGGAGTGGATTGGAGTGGATTGGATTGGGAGATGGGGATGGGGATTTGGATTTGGATTGGGATGGGATGGGATGGGATGAGATGGGATGGGATGGATGGGATGAGATTGGATTGCATTGGGTTGGATTGAATTGCATTGGGATGGGATGGGATGGGGATGGTGATTTGGGTTGGGATGGGGATGGGGATTTGGATTGGGATGGGGATGGGGATTTGGATTGGGATTGGATTGGATGGGGATGGGGATGGGGATGGGGTTGGATTGGATTAAATTGGATTGGGATTGGGATGTGGATGGGGACGGGATGGGATGGATGCGATGGGAACGGATTGCATTGGATTGGATTGGATTGGGATTGGATTTGGGATGGGGATTTGGGTTGGGATGGGGATTTGGATTGGGATGGGACTGGATGGGCCATGAGCGGGGGGTAAATGGATGAACAGATGGGTACTGTTCTGATGGGGAACTGATCAGCAGGATGGCTGTGTGACAGTCAAAAACTACCTGCAGATCAGCGGAGCAGATGCTCGTCTCTGGAGATGAACGAATGGGAGATTGATGGATGCATATACTGAGGGACAGAGAGAGAGAGAGGGAGGGATAAGAAGACAGATCGAGACGAATGACTGTAGTGTGCACTGTGCTGATACACATTTTGCAGTGTTTTTTTGTTTTGTTTCTGCTTTTTTCGCAGGGTTGCATCGAGGATCGATCCTGTCCGTCCATTGTTGCTCTCGGATTGGACGCTCTGGCTCACCTTTGCCACGACGATGCAATAGGTGCAGAGCTATCCTGAGACCTTCAATGCTACCCCTGCGCTCCCCCCCCCCCCCCTCCCCCCCGCCCCCCACCGGGCCTTATGCCCCCCCTTTATGTCCCCCTCTCCACCCTGCCCCCCCCTTTCTCTTCCCAAGACACACACGAACCCCACATGAAAAGTCAAAACAACGGTTTCGATGTGCATCATGTTGTCTGCTTTTTTTTTTTTTTTTTTTTTTTTCATTGCTTTCGCAAAGAAGGTTGTTTCATTTTTGGATCTGCTCATCTGGGTGGACAAGGGTTGTGGTGGTGGCTGTCTGAAACCACAAACACGGACCGGGCATAACCAAAAAGGAGAAAAAAAAAAAGAAAAAGAAAAAAAAGAAAGAGCCCCTTCCCTCCCCTCCCTGGCCTCGAGCTATAAGAAGTTTTACCCAAATTGTGTCAGTTTTCTGTCGTTTTCTTGTATTTGGACCATACTTGCGGCGCGTAGGTGAAGTGCGCTGTGCATTACGGTGCGCGGTGCGTTAATCCCAGGTGCGCGCGCCAAAAACCGTGATGTGTGTATACACGCTGGGGAGAGAGAGAGAGAGAGAGAGAGAGAGAGAGAGAGAGAGAGAGAGAGAGAGAGCACAGAGCCCTTTCACATTATTCAGACAACCCATGCCGGTACTTCAAAAGGTCCCTGCCAAAGATTGGCAAGGGTCCCGTCGGCAGGAGCGGGGTGGTCATTGGACGAGTTGTCACTGGACTTGTAGTAAGGAGGGAGCAGGCCAGCTATATATGGTGTAGCTTCAAGTTCAGGTCCGTGTTCCAGCAGTTATGGGTTACTGACTTACTAACTCGGCATGTGATTTTCAGGGCTTTCTTTTTTTTATTTATTATTATTTTTTTTTTCTTTTTTTTTTTTTTTTGGTGCGAGGAACAAGCCCTCAAGGTGCCCTATCAGACATCACATTGTTCTGGGCTAAGGCCCCCAGCAAGCCAAGTGCCCGCCCTAAGTGAAGGCGGGCCTGAATATTCGTCAATGGCAAAATTCGACATTTCCATATGTTGGTATTCAGGCTCTCGCAGCACGCCAGTTGGTTGGGTAGACGCGTGAGCCTCACATTGCTGCGTCATACAGTTTGCCCAGGCCTTGACAGTTGCGCCTGGGCACACATACACAAAGCACGGCCGATACATTGGGAAGCAGGCCTTCGGCCTTTGCAAAAGCAGTAGTGCCAACACATCTGCCTGGGAGCCCTGCACGGATGCAGCAAACAGACCAAGTTCGGAGACTCAGGCCGTGCCTAACTGCAAAGGGCCCAGGCCCTCAACTGTAGTCTCGGGCCTGGGCGCAGGGTCTGGGACCCAACCGGAACCTACTGGAAGCTTCCAGCCAGGCCACACGCAGCGTCCAGGAGGCTGCCACTTCCACAAAAGGAGTGAGGCAGCCCAGGCCAGGGATTCTGGCCAGTGCTGACAATGCGTAAGTGCTGCTGCACTCTCGCTTGATGCTGCGCTGCTGCCAAGGGCGCTGACGGGGCACGCAGAGGTGAAGTGGGGCGCTGCAGGGCAGCGGAGCGCAGGCAGCCATAGCCGGGCTGCTGGGCGCCAGGGGGTACAGCGGGTGATCTGGTGGTCTTCAGGGAAGGAGGCGCTGTGTGGGGTAATCAAGGTGTGATTGAGGGTGACGAGATACGTACCTGGTGCATGAAGAGAGGTCGGCTATGGTGTTGACAGTCATGTACATTGGTCTTCGAGTGTCTAAGTGAGCCTGTTGCGAGAACCAGATGTAGGTAGGCTAGTCGCGTAGAGTAGGCTGGGCGCTGGGCGCCAGGCAGAGAGGAGCGACTTTGGATTCTGTGCTGGTGTGGCCTACGGGCTTGGACATTGAGTCATTACTTCATTATATTGCTCTATATGGATGGTTTTCTCGGTGCATTTGTACTATCTGCTAGGACACGATTACTTGGACATCTGTGTGATTTCGCAACTTGGTTTTCTGTATATCGATCACACTCATATTCCTTGCATTGGGACAAATGCTCCAGTCTATTCGTGGGGAGCAACACATGCTGGGAACTGGGTCCAGCGTCCCGTATAGAATTATACAAATGATTTGAAATACCAGGGCCATTACCTGGCTTCGGCTAAGAACAATCTGAGAAGTTGAGAACTATGAAAAGGTTCAGGAAATTTTAGGAAACCATGGATAACTGCTAACCTATTGCTAGGCTAGCCACATAAACCCTGTAAATGCTCAGAAGCCCTGTAAATGCTCAGAAGCCCTGTAAATGCTCAGAACCCCTGGAATCCCCAACAAACATTCTAAAAAACTCTAACGCTGTCTTATTCCCTGCCGATCTTCTCCAGGGCCAACACAACTCACCCCAACTCCGGCCAGCGTCGTACCAACAGTGACCCTTGGTTTTCCCTTGGAATGCCCGGCCCAAGGCATCCCCAGATCTCTCTACCAGGCCTCACGCTCCTGCTGTCAACAGGTTACAGGGAAACCCCCCAGCTCCGGCCAGCTCCGTTCTGACATCGAAAAACCGCGGATCCATGAATATAACAGCATTAAAGAAGCCTAAAATGAGTTGCAAGAAGTACCCAGAGTCCTAAGGCATTCTCAAGACTTACCTCATGAAATAGGCTAAAATTCAGAGAAAATCCGAAATGGCTTGGGAAAAAATGAGAGCTGAGGGTCAAAACTGAAACTACCTACTATCCAAAAACTGCCCCCCTCAATAGACGGGACGTCAGTCCAGGCTTTCAGTGCTCGTGCCATAACTCACTTGATCTCATACCCCCTTCTGCTAGGGTAACAGGGCACCGCAACCTTCCCCAGTACCGACCAACCTAGTTCTGACGGACAGGAAGTGCCTTCCTCCCTCGAAATTTCCCTTAGCGGTAAGCCCCTGGCACAGGTTACAGGGTTGATACCCCGGCGCCGACTACATCGGATGGTCTGGTTATGCCTTCCACCCTTGACATAACTCCACAGGCCTCAAGCTCCCCCCAGGTCACAAAGCAAAAGCTCCAGCACCGGCCTGTGTCGTCCCAGCATCGTCCTTCTAAAAGATTGAAAAACCTTATATACGTTTCAGCACCTACTGTTTCCACAAGAAGAGAGGAAGGGAGGGAAAAAAACCACCCTCTCTCCCCGTGGAAACTCCAGCGCCTATTCTAATCTCGATTGCATGTACAAGGCTCACAAGAACCAAAACGGATTACTCCTCTCCCCCCCAAAAAACGGCCCCCCTGTGTGATACTGCCTCCGTGAGGAAGCGCCCCCTCACCTCCCAGCCCCAGTTTAGAGCAGCCCCCTAATTACCACTCCTACTCCCTCAGCTGCATACAGTACCCCCTAAAGTATGCCCCGCAGAGCCGAAGATCCCCCTTCCCTCCTGCCCCACCCCCTCCAAGTGAAACAACCCTACAACATCGCACCATGCTGATATCAGCACCCCTTGTCCTCTCTCCCCAACCGCCATAGCTGATCCGACCCAAAAATCAGCGTGGCCCAGAAAAGGACAAACCCTCAACACTGCCCCTCCCCCTCAAAGATCACACCACCCACCCTGTGTAACCCTCGCAGGGAGGGGCTCCAACCCTAAAGGAGATACTTCCATTCGGATTCAATAGCCAAAAACAGATAGGAGCGATTTCCAGCAACGGATGGAACACTTTGGGAACTACCAGTACATAGAATAGGAAACACCAAAAAAGCGGTCAAAAGTCAGAGCCATGTTTAGGAATGATTATTAAGGCATCAAAGGTAAGTCCGATTTTTGAAAATTCGTAAATCGAGATCAGACAATCAGAGATTGAATCAAACCACTCAATGGGTAGGATTTCAAAATCAAGATTACGTACCTCGTGAAATAAGAATCAACGCAAATCAGAAGATCAAACAAGATTAAATTAAGATTTGAAAATTACTTTAAGAAATCAGAGGTGCCCAACCTCTGATTTTACGAATCTCAGGTTAAGAGTATTGCCCAGGAAGTAATTCAACCACAAAAAATACGGTAGTCGACACGACTAATGGATGTGAAATTCCAAAAAAATATAAGCAGACAACCTAATTCAGAACTAGGCAACCAAAATAGGTCAGGATTAATCTTGATTTAATCTTGATTTTCAAACCTCAGAATCAGAGTTATTAGTTACATTTTCGTTGCATATCTAGGGTTCAAGGTTAGAAGGACTAATAGGTTGAGCCGGACAAAACTATCTGGGAATCACATCGTTAAGAATCTCATCAGGGTCATCACAGAATCACCACTACAAAACATGGAGAGGAAGAACCCATCTTACCCTCGACATCCCTAAACGCAACCCCCCCCCCTCTCCAAACCTCACCTCCTCCTTCATCGACTCTCAAGCAACTCGGCCGCCTGTGGTCGACAACTAATCAACCATCCAAAAGAACCGAACGATGAAGATAACAGGACCGCAGCCAGGATTACCATCATGGCAATCCACTCCACGTCACGAGACTAAACCGCTGAACCTGCCAGCCGCCCCTCGCAGGTAGCCCAAAGAGATGA